GCCCTTGTCTCTCTTCCTCCACCCCACCCCACCCTGCCTTCGCCCCTCCCTGTTTTTCTCCTCCCTCTTTGCTGGTTACACAGAGGTATGGATGCTGGTGCAAGGCCTGGGGCTGGGGGATCCGGGAAGGGAAGTGTTTTGGCTTGAAGATCTAGAGCGGAGTGGGGGGTTGTGGAGGAGGGGTGTTCTGGGGAAGGAGGAGCATGCTATATACTTGGGCAAAGCCCCCCAAAGCTGCAGTGAGGGTCTGACCTGGCTCCAAACCACTGTGGTCTGGCTCCCTCTTGTTAGCAAGGAATGATGAATTTGAGAAATCATGGGAAGGATTGGGGGAAACAGTGAATTTCCTCACCCATGCTCGGGGCAGGTTTGAGGAGTGGGGATGCCTCCCAAAGTCCCCAAACCGCATTCCTCAAAACTCCTCACCAAAGCCTTATGGGCATATGTAGTATCATTGTATCTGTCTTAAACATGAGGAAACTGAGGCATAGGGACGTTTCAGAGCTTGCCCAAAGTCACACAGTCAGTCAGTCACAGAAACCAGATTTGAATGCAGGTAGTTTAGTTTTGTTCTGCAGCCACCACTTAATCCCTTGCTGTGGGGCTGGTGGGTGACTACCTCAGGGGACCTAGCTGAGGTACTTCCCAAGTTCAACCTCTGGTAGACAGAGACACAGGAAGCCCAGCTCTGCCACTCACTACCCAATTGTGGAACTTTGGGCAGGCGATTTCATCCCTCTGAGCTATGGTCTCCTCACCTGAAAAATGGGGCACTAGGGTGACTCCAGCAAGCCTGGATGCGAGAGCACCTCTGCCCTGTTCCCCAGCAATAACTCCCACTCAGCTGCACATTGCTGGGCTTTGACCAGGCCTGACCGTGGGAGCTGCTTCCAGCGGCGCTCTCCTCCTGCGGCCAGCACCACAGGTCGGCTGGCACGGTTGGAGCTGGGGTCTGGCCCTGACCTGCCCTCTGAGTGCTAACAGTGCCCCAGTCCCAACCTTGTCTGGTCCCCTGAAGCCCTGGGGACTGGGCTCGCCTTGCCTTTGCTGGTCTCCTCAAGGACTCAAGTCCAGCCTCCCTGCCCCTTCTAGGATCCTGCTGCCACCTCCTCACCCGCCCCTGGACACCTGGCCAGTTGCCGTGTCCTCCCTCAGATCTCCTGTGGGACCACAGAGCCCAGAGCTCCCTGCAGACCCTCACAACAGACTGGCCACAGGCCTCCAGAGAGCCTGCTGTGCAGAAGGACTTGGTCCCTCTCCTCCCCTCTCTGTTGAATGGGCAAGACACGGCCCCATGAGCAAAAAAGAAACTCCTTGCTTCCTGCGCCCAAGAGCAAGGGCTCAGCGCCTAGGCCAGAGCCAGAAAAGCGCTCTGCCCACCACTGGCATTCCCTCAAACCTCCCGTCCTGGGCGGGCCCTGAGGGTGGAAGCAGTGCCGGAGGAGGGCTGGGAGGCTGCTCCTCTGCCCTGGAGACCCGATCTAGTTGGTGCCTGGCTCCAGGAGGTAGAGGTCAAACCTCAGCCCGGAGTAGCAGAAGAGAGGAGAGAAGAGGGGGGAGGAGGAGGAAACGCCATGAGTCCGGCAGTGGGGGAGCTGGGGCCAGGGCGGCCAAGGAGGGAGGGGAGCTGGGCCAGGGCTATTTCTGTCCAATAATACAGGGGCAGAGGGCCAAGCTGACAGGACAGTGATTAGTCTTTGGGGAGCAAAGGCGAACACTCTGCCGGCGAGCCTGGGGCTGGAGGAGCTGGCCGGGGGCCCAGTCCGGTGGGCTGGAGCAATGATTTCAGAGGCCCGGAATCTGAGGCGAGCTGGGCCCATGGACTAGGGAGCAGGGAAGGTGGGAGCAGGGAGAGGGGAGCCAACCATCCCCCCTCCACTCCACCTCCAGCACAGAAGGCTGGGCAAGGGTGCTAGCTGGCCTGCCCCAGCTGTCTGTCTGTCACCAGGGGGTTATCTGCACTGAACACTTCCTGGGCTTCGGCCTGTGGGGGAGATGGCGTGAGAAAGGGGCAGAAACTCAAGGCTCGGAAACCTCAGGGGAAGAGGCAAGCTTGCTTTTTTTATTTCCCACGGGATTTCCAGTCATGGGGTCCAGGAGAGGAGGTGTGAGAGGTCAGGGAGCGGGGAAAGCCTGGAACTCACATTTTAGAAGTACCGTGCACTGCGCCTGTTGCTATGCATTACCACGTTGATGCCTCCTGCAAAGCCGGTGACGTAGGAGTGATCACACTTGGTTTATCCCGAGCAAGTTGAGGCTCACAGAGGCAAAGTGATTGGCCTAACATCACACAGCTAGGAAGTGGCAGAGCTGTAATCGAGTCCAGGTCCCTTGTCCTCTAAAAGCCCTGGCTTTGGAGGCAGCATGGCAGAATGAGGGCTTAAGATTCCAGGCCCTGGTCTGCAAGTACCGCCTTTGAATCTCCTACCTGTTCTCTGCCAGCTGCGTGACCTAGGACAAGTTGCTTCACCTCTCTTAGCCTCAGTTTACTCATCTGTAAAGTGGAGCTAATAATAGTACATACCTCCTAAGATTGTTGTGAGCATTACAGGAGTCAGTACATGGGAAGTGTCCTGAACAGCATGTGGTACACAATAAGAAGAAACATGGTATGAGTATTCACCATGTCCTCCGTGGGCTCCCTTAGGAGACGAAATGTGGGCAAGGCGAGGGAGCTGTGTGGGGAAAACACAGAGTAGGGGGTTGCTCCAATCCCTTTGGAATTGGAGTCCTCCCACATTTGGACAAAAATATCAGGAGTCTTCTAATGGGGAGTGCTTATGACCCAGCAAGTCCACTTCTGGGAATTCATCCGAAGGAAATAATGGGTCAAGGGAGCAAAGATGTATACACCAGGACATTCATTTCCAAGCCGTTCATTATAGTGAACAACAGGGGCCTGCTTAAATGAATTATGGCATATTCATACACAGCAGCCATGAAAAACAATGATGTCACTCTTTAGGTATTGATATGGAAAGAGATTCCTGATACAGTTGTTAAGAGAATCAAAGCAGTTTGCCACATTGCAGGTACGCAGGGCTTGGGAGAGGACATGTTGGAGGGCCAGGGTTGGGGAGGGGCACTCATTCCTATTTATGGAGCACCAGAAATTTATTGACCATGAACACTTATTACTTTTGTGATTAGAAGAAAACAAGCAATAAAACAATTTCTGTAGGAAAAAAATAACCTCAAAGATTCGGAACCCTCCAGCTGGAAAGCGGTTGTTTGCAAGAGTTCTCTGGGCCTTCTGATGAGGACTTCCCTGGCATGGGTGGCCTTCCTGCTCAGGAGCAGCCCAGCATTCCACCCCCTCCCTGTTCTCCCTTGCCAAGGAGCTGGACAGAAGGGCAACAAGAAAGGGCCTTGTGGAATCAGACACAGTTTCAAACCACTGGCCAACATGACCTTCCATGTTCATTCATTCATTCATTCATTCATTCAACAAATATTTATCAAGCTTGTGTCTGGACTAAGTGATGAGAGCACAGCCATGAACAAAATAGACAAAAATGCTTGCACTTGGGGAATTTGTGTCTTAGTGAAGGCAGGCAGACAATACAGATAGATAACGTATGGGTCTATTGGGTGGCAATAAGTGCTCCCCAAAAAGATAAAACAACAAATGGGAAGAGTGAATGTGTGTGTGGCGGGGGTGAGGGAGTGCAATTTAAAATAGAAAGGTCAGGGAAGCCTCTCTGAAAAAGAGGCATTTAAGTCAACACCTGAAGAAGGTAAAGGAGCAAGCCGTGTGGATAGTTCAAGGAGAGCATTCCAGGTAGAGGGAACATCAAGCCCAGCAGTCCCGGGCAAAGGGTTACAAAGGGGACGAGATACATTCGGAGAGGAAATGAGGGTGAAAGTAGGTAAGACCTTGTCAGCCTTGGTGAGGCTTTGGGTTTTACTGAGTGAAATGGGAACCAGTGCAGGGTTCTGAACAGAGTAGTGACAAATACTTTCATAGGATCACTTTGGCTGCTGTCATGCAAATAGGCTGAAGGTGGAAAGGCCAAGGAGGAAAGCTGGTGGACCAGGTGAGAGGGGATGGGGCTCAGACCAGAGTGGCAGTGGAAGTTGTGAGAAATAATTAGCGACATAGTGCATCATTCTGCTCTGACATTCTGGGTCCAGATTTCCCACCAAATCCAGAATGAATTCTGGCAACCTTTTCTCTTTAATGAGAATAAGGTGTACAGGGTGTCCCAGTATAGAAATATCTTTCTTCGCCCCTCTGAGCCCCAAACTGATCCCAGGGCCCCAGCTGCCCCACCAGCCTATCTGCTCCAGGAAGGCACGGTCTGTTGTCTGTTTGGTTCACTGCCGTATCTGGTGCTTACCTGGCACTGACTGACTGACTGAATGAATGAATGAATGAAGAGTGATGTGGAAGACTAGAAGAGGGAGCAAGGAATTCAGCCAGATGGTGGGGGGAGGAGAGGGGTAGCGATGGGTGGGCATATCTGACCTACCTATTCAGCACTCTCAGGCCTCGGAACACCCACGCAGGCAGAAGTGGGTTCTTGCCCTCTCAGCTTGGCTGACTGAATGTGAGTGTGAGTGTTGCCCATCTCATTGTTCGGTCGTGGGTTCAAAAGAGAAGCGGCTGCCTTACCTTTCTGCTTGAGCGGGAATGCTCCCATGTTAGGAATAGGGAAGCCAGTCTAGCAGAATGGATAGAGTCAGGGTCCTGACTGGAGGCAGGAATTAGGGGCAGAGTCCGGAAGGAGAGCCAGGAGGAAAACTTTTCTACCCTGCGTCTTTTGTCTTCCACTCTTGCCCTCCTACTCTTCTGGCACAATCTTCTTACCTGCCCCAGTAGCTTCGTTACCATTCTACAATATGCCTCCCCCATTTCTCTGTCCTCCCTCCTGCTGAGTCTTCTGCGGGCCCTCCACCAGCCTTCTTCTTACGTCGAAACCCTCACTCCATTCAGTGGAAACTCCCTTTATTCCTGAAACTATAACCTCCTTACTTCGTAACAACCTGATTCGTTGCAGACACCGACACCCTCATCTCTGCAGCCTGCTACAGAAGCCTCACTTTCCCTCTAATTCAAGAGAAGGGCAGATGGTCTGTCTCCATCAAACCACAGGTACACCATTTTCCTTTTATGTTATTCATGTATGCCATAAGCCATTATTCATGTGATCTGGGGCAGGTGTTACAAAGATTTATCAAGCATATTGCCAATAAGATAAGCAAGGAACTGTTGTTTTATTTTGTGCTTTCTTGTCTTTTGGTCAGGCCAGACTTATAGTTAAATATGGCAGATCGAATAAATATGTTTAGTGCTATTTTGTCCCCAGGTTCCACTAAATTGATAGCAAAGGTAGAACACCAGAGGTTTATGCTCCAGAGAGGCTGGATGTGGACACATCAGCCTCAGATGAAGGCAGAGGTAAATCATGGGAACAGGAAAACAAGGTGATCATCTACATACTGAACAGTGAGGCCTCCCCCATCGTCTTTCCTCACTCAGCTCCAAGAACACTGGCAGCCATTATACTGTTATCATCTCCATTCTCCCGCAAGAGATTGGAGGCTTCCTTTCTTGGGAGTCTGATATGTGGATATTCCCTAAAAAGCTCAGAGAACTCTCCTGTGACCAGTTGAAAACCCCTACTACATTCTGCACACAGAATTCCAATACGCTTTTTATTCCTCACTCTTAAAAATGAGCTGACAACTGAGGGTCACCAGACATTGAGGAAATCCTTTGATGTAAAAGATGGAGATGAAAACAAACAGGAAAATGAATCCAGAGGAAATAGACACATGCAGAAAGCAGAAGAAAGCTAAGCACAAACAACCTTAACATCTTAGTGGCTTGCAACAACCGAGGGCCATCTTTCGCTCCTGCCCTACATTGTCTGCATGTCAACTAAAGTTCTGCTCCCTGTTGTGTTCACTCCAGGACCTGAGCTGGAGGAGCTGCTACCTGGGGTATCAGCAGCCTCATAACGAGGAGAAAGCAAGATGTTGGAGTGATACTCAAAGATTCTGCTCAAAAGTCTGACACATCATTTCCATTCACGTTGCATTGACCAAAAGAAGTTATATGTCCAAATCTGATGTCAAGAGTGCAGGAAATATAATTCGAGTACACGGACAGGCCTGATAGACAAGGGTAGCAAATATTTTGGCCATGCAGAATCTACCAGAATCCATGAAGCAAAAACAGGAGGCAGTCAAAGAAGAAAAGAAGAGGGTTTATAAATGATCAATATGGTAACATAAACATTAAATAAATGGTTAGAACGATGAAGTTGACAGCAAGTAGACAAAAAGAGAAATGAATGCAAAATAGAAACAATTAGAATGCTCTAAGAGGCCAAGTATGCGAATAAAAGGAGTGCCAGAACGAAAAGAACAGAGACAAGAGAATAAGAAACTGTTAATGAAATAGTTCAATTGCATTTCTCCGAATAGAAAAATATAAATTTCTGAATTGAGAGGGCATTTCAGGTATCCAGCACAATAGATGCAAAAAGACCAATAACAAGGCGTATCTTTGTGAAGTTTTAGTACACTTGACAAAAAGATCCTAAAAGGTTCCAGAAAGAAAAAATAGGTGTATGCAAAGTCTCAAGGATCAGAGCAGTACAAAACTCCTCTCTCATGCAACAGGAGCTAGAAGATAATGGATTAATGTCTTCAAATTTTTTAGGGAAAATAATTTTTAACTTAGAATTTTATACTTGAATTACCAATAAAGTGTGAGAATAAAACAAACACATGTTCAGACTAATAAGTTGTCAAAACATATAGTCTGCATGCATCTCTTCTCAGGAAGCCACCAGAGGATCTGATCCAATACAAGGAAGACTAAACAGAGGAATCAGGAGCTAACATAAGAGGGTGGTGGAGGTTATCCCCAGGATGGTGGCAAAAAGGCAAGTCCCTGGACACCAGGCAGCCAAGCAGGCCAGCTGGAATGGATCACAGAGGGTTCCAGGGGAGGTGCTTCCAAAGACAAGATGTTTAGACAGATTGAGATGAGATTTACTGTTCTGGCAGACAGTTTGCCGATGAATCAGTTATAAGTACACAGAAAGCCAATCAAACACACACAAAAGTTAAGACAATTATTAATTCCGGGGAACACAAAAGTTATTCAAGAGAAGACATGTAATCATAGGACACCTCAGGGCTCATAGTTGTAGTGATGTCAACGCTGACTATCGATAGAGCTGTATCAGGTCGATGTGTATAGTCAGGTGGATGAGGAGAGAGCGAAATCCTTGTCTTCCAGAATGGGAAAGCAATAGATTAGATCTGAACCTGAAAAATCAAGACATCAGTACATAATTTAGAAACATGGAGAAAAGTATTTTTCAACTAAAAGGGATAAAAATATTTCCCTCTAAGGAGTGGGGGACTGGGTACAGGAAGTACTAGGGCAGGGACCATCTCTTTTTGCTGTTGTTCTTTATAGGCTTGCACATTGGAGTAAAAAAGAAATGTGTTCAAGTCTGCTGTTTGTTCCAAACCTTACACACTATGTACATTGATTAAATGCTTTTTATATTTTATTTTCCAAATTAATGATGAGGTTGAATATCTTTTGCCGTGTTTATTGGCCATATTTGTTGTTCCTCTTCTGTAAATTTCCTGATCGTGTCCTTTGCCTATTTTTCTTTTGGATGGTTTGCATTTCTAGGCATTCATTTCCAGGAGTTCATGATAAATTATAGATTCATACATTAAATCATTCCACAAATATTTATTGAACACGGTACTGTGCTAGATGCTAGGGATGCAGCCGGCAACAAGACAAGCCGAGTCCTTGTTCTCATGGAGCACACCTCGTGGGCAGACAGAGAACAAGTCAACCAATACACAGACACGCTGCTTTCTGATAAGAGTAAGTGCTCTGAGGAAAAGGGAAGCGGGCGACAAGATGAATTGTGAAAGGTAGGGCATGGCTTCTTTGGATTGGTCAGTCTGAGGAGGCCTCTCTGAGGAGGTGAAATTTGAGTCATCCAGGCCTCATGAGGATTTGGGGACAGATGTAGCATTTCAGCCACCAGGAATAGCAACTGTAGATGTCCTATTGCAAAAAAGAAAGAAAGAATAAAGAAAAGCTCCGTGGATAAACGTTGCCAATCATTTTTTCAGTCTGTCACTTGGGTTGTAACTTTGTTTATGGTGCCTATTGTCATACAGACATTTCAGAATTTTGATATGAGCAAATCTATCAATCTTTGCATTTAGAGCTTTTGCTTTTTGTGGTTCCTTTCAAAGATTTTCCCTACATCAATATTATAACCATACTTTTCAATATTTTATAATAGCTTTATACTTTATATTTTACATTTTATGCTTTTAATTTGTCTGTGATCTAATTTTCAAGTGGTATGAAGAACAAAGTTCTATTTTTTTTTCCTAGCTTGCTTCAATACCATTTACTGAATAGACCATTATTTTCCTACTGATTTGAAAGGACACCTTCATTAAATACCAGATTACCACATACCCATGGATGTGTTTCTGGTCTCTATTCAGTTGCTTTGTTTGGCATCTCCATCCCTGTGCTAGTTCTGATTATTAGGCCAGTAATCCTGCCTCAGGCCAAATGGGCTATTCAGGGCCCTTGTCCATTCTGATTGGTCTGAGTTTAGGCCACACCCACTGTTATCTATTTTGAATAGGAGCCGTAGCACACACTTTTCATCCTGAAAAATATATAAAATATTTTGATATATGGTAAAGTCAGTCCAAGTCCCCCTTTTCATTGTTCTTCCCTTTCAAAATTGTCTTAGCTTTTCTTGCACATTTTCTCTCACACATGAATTTTCTAATCAATTTGTCAAGTCCTGTGAAAACTCCTGCTGGGAATTTGACTGCGATGGAATTAAATTTATGGATTAGCTTGAGAAGGATTCATATTGTTACAATATTGAGTTTTCCCACCCAGGAACATGTATGTTTCTTCATTTATTTAGCTCTCTTTAAATGTTCTTCAGTAAGATTTTATACTCTTCTTTTCATGTGTCTAGCACCCTTCTTGTTCGGGTTTTCTTTAGGTATTTTATACTTTTGTTGCTTTTGTGAAAGAAACCCATTTATCTATTTTATTTCTAATGGGTTGTTGCTGTTTTCTATTGATTTCTTTTTAAATAAATCTCTTTTTTTTGAAAGAGTTTTATTGGGGAATTGGGGGGATGGGAACAGTGCTGGGGGATTGGGGAAGGGGAACAGACAAGTTGCTGTCGTTTTGTTCTTCAATCTAGTTGTGGAGGACGTTGCTTCACTTGCCCAAGTTGGCACCATCATTGCACTCTTCCCAGGCGAGGCAGATCAGTCGCAGGCTTCTGGACGGCCGCTCACGCTGGCTGCTGGCTACACACAGTAGCCCATGGCAACCCACTGCCACAGGGACTGCAGCCTACGCCGTCGCCAGCGACTCACAGCAGCCCAGCTCCAGGTTGAGCTGTTGTTCAGCATCTTAGCTGTGGAGGGCAGTGTCACTGGCCCTCATATGTGGGATCCGAACCGGGGCCCTCTGGCGTCCCAAGCCAGTTCTTAACCATCGCACCACTCGGCCGGCCCATAAATCTCATTTTTAAACAGTTTAGATTTACAGGAAAATTCCAAAGACAGTACAGAGAGTTTCCATATACCTCATTTTCCCTATTTTTAACAATATTTAACAAATGACTATGGTACGTGTGTTACAATTAATGAACCAATAGTAATACATTATTATTAACTGAAGTCCATGGTTTATTCACAATTCCTTAGTTTTCTCCTAATCTCCTTTTTCTGTTCCAGGAACCCATCCAGGGTACCATACTTAATTTAGTTCTTATGTCTCCTTAGGCTCCTTGTGGCTGTGACAATTTCTCAGACTTTCCTTGTTTTTGATGACCTTCACAGTTTTGAGGAATGCTGATCGGGTATTTTGGAGGATGTTTCTCAATTGGGATCTGTCTGGTGTTTTCCTCTTAGACCGGGGTTATGGGTTTGGGGGAGGAAGCCCACAGAGTTAAAATGACATTTTTATTCAACATATGAAGGGAGTAATCAACACTTATCATTGTTGGTGTTCACTGTGATCTCCTGGCCTAGGTATGTTTGTGAGGTCTCTCTGCTGGAAAGTTACTCCCCCACTCCTCCCCCCCCCACACCCCATACTGCATCCTTTGGGAGGAATGACTATAGTCAGTCCACACTTACAGACACAGAATTGTGCTCCTCTTCCTTGGGCAGAGCATTTACATAAAATATTTGGAATTCTTGTGCACAGGAGATTTGGCTCTTCTCCATTTGTTAATTTATTCAGTCATTATTTCTATCAGTATGGACTCATGGATATGTGTTTTATACTTTCAGTTATAATCCAGTACTATATTTGTTTTGTTGCTCAAAGGTCTACTTTCAGTTGGCTCCTGTGCTCCTTTGACATGCCTCCAAATAATGTGTGGGGTTTGTTTTGTTGGTTTTGTTTTTGTTTGTTTTTGAGTGCTTCCTTACTTTCTGATACTATGAGACACTCTGGCTTATCGTGTGTAATTCCTCTCCCAGCCCCCAAATCAGCCATTTCTTCAAGGAGCCCTGGTTCCTTTTACTGGAGTATCAGAAACCAAGATCTGGGCCCTAGGTGTGCTCATTGCTTCTGTAGTGTTATTGCTTCTAGGCCCTTTCAGCTGACAGAACAAAGAAATAATTGTGTGTATACTAACTCACGTGTACACACACATCTATAAATATTTCTATATGTAACCATCTAGATTTATATATCAAGCTAAACATGAGTTCACATTGCTGTCTTCAACTCTAATCCATTACCGCATGGAAGATTCTAGCTTCCTCCTCTTGTCTATCTGTAAACTCTCACACCAATAAAGAGAAACCTGGTTTCCACCATCTGCTATCCATTCCTGTAATTGTTCAATTCCAATGTACATAGATGGTGGTATTAGAATTGTTAACCCATACCCCTGTGGGCACCAACTGTATCAACTAGTATATAGTGTGTTTGTGCAGTTTCTTTGACCATTTAGTCTTACAGACTATGCTGATTTCCAAAGTTATTGTGGTCAATACCTTTCCCCCTCCCTGTCCTTCAGTGAGATTGTTTCGTACATTTGCAATGCTATTAGATTCTTTTGTCACATTCTGCATTCCATCCTGGGATCCCCAATCTCCCAAATGATTTTTAAAAAATTTTATACATTAAGATTCCCTCTTTGTGCTGCAAAGTTCTAAGAGTTTTGAAAAATGCAGTTGTATATCCATGACATTCTATATAGAGATTTTCACTTCCTGAAAATCTGTGCTTCAGCTCTTATCTTCTCCCTTTGAGCCCCTGGCAACCAGTGATCTTTTATTCTAAGATTGTCACTTTAGCTTTGCCTTTTCCAGAATGTCATATAGTTGGAATCATATAGTACGTAGCCTTTTCAGACAGGCTCCTTTCACTTAGCAATATGCATTTAGGATTCACCCATGTCTTTCTGTGGCTTGATAGCTCATTTCTTTTTAGCACTAAAAACTATTTCATTGTCTGGATGT